AGCTCTACATTCTATCACGATCCCGTCAAGAGTTTGAGTCAACACAGAGGTATGAGTTGTGTCGTACAAGCAGATATGCAAATTGATTGTCGGAATGCCGGAAGAGAGGCCGAAAAGTGGTCTAAGGTTCTTACCAGCTCCATGAAAGACGTGCACACTTTTTCTATCTATCGGGTCTATCAACGGCATATGGTAAAAGACAAATTGTATCGGATCGACTTTATCAAAAAGACGCGAGGCTTCGAGAAATTGCAAAAAAAATTGTGAGTATACGACATCTACGCTCAAAGGCAAACTGGCAGTAGCGAACCTTATTTCTGTGGATTTTGTCGAGGTGGGTCACATCTGTTTTGTCCGAGATTCCACCATGGACAACGAAAATGTTTTTGTCAATGATGGTGGCGATCGGCAACCACGAGAATAAGTCCTCGAGCGTCTTTGTGATCGTAGTCGAATGATCCTGATGCAGCAAACTCTCAACAATAGGGCTACGAGAATATATAAAAGGATTTGTGGAAAGTTGTTGTGAACAACACTAGTAGTTGTTGTATTCTGGAACTCCGAAAACGATGCGTAGGCTCTCTTCTTTTATCTCCACCTTTTAAATTCACAAATGAGATGTGCTTTAACTCATTCAATACCTATTCCCACTCATTTCTCACCTTGTACTTGGTCATTAGCTCTTTGGTGAAGCCGTAACGAAGATTCATGATGTGATCCTCATGATTGCCTCTATTGAGCGTGATTGCATTCGGATCCAGTACGAACAGTGCTAGCAACACACACAGCACCTGCAAATAAAATTGTTATTGCATAGTACGAAAGATGCAAAAAAAAACAGATTGAGCTGCTCAGTACACTGGTTGCCTTCGCCTGATATCATAGTTTGCGAATCGAGCGATTCGCTAGCGAATCGCTGGATCCGAGCGTTGCGCCAGCGAATCGAACGTTGCACCAGCGACTCAATAGTGGCGGGACCCAACGTTTCAAAGGAAGCCCGCCACTTTCAAACAGCGTCCACTGTCACGTGACACTGTTTGAAAGTGGCGGGCTTCCTTTGAACGTTGGGTCCCGCCACTACTATTGAGTCGCTGGTACCTAGTTTCAAACCCAACTCGGTACCTCGTGTGGAAAGCTTCGGCTGTGGTGCGAGGTGCTGGTAGCGCATTTTCGCGGAAACTGTATGACATCGTTTTCTCTGGTCGTGGGAATCGGCTTGCCATAGCTCTTGGCGTGTCGGAGGTTTGCTATTCCATCCCCGACAGGCGTGTCCTCCAGTTCATCCTTTTTCCGCCTTCATGTATTCTGCGACGTTACCTCCCAGTGCGCTGTGGCTGCCTTCACGCGCCAAAATTTACCATTTATGCATAAGTTATGTTCGGCTCCTTATGGGATCTACGATTTAGATTTTTTTTAATATAATTCAGTGTTCGGGAAGGGTGTGTAGCTTCTATATAGTGATGGAGAGAAGTTGAACATTTTGCCGGGACCTTCTCTTTTAATTGGTTGCCTTTCTCCGCGTTGAAGTGTGGCGTTCAGGGATGATTTAACAGGGTAGTACGCGAGTCTTTAGGAGTTTCTACGATGTATATAGTGCATGAGGTGTGAAGGTTGAAGTTATTGGTGGGAGGGGGATATTGTAGCTTTCTTTCTTTCCTGCTGCGTGGGTATTCAAGTTAATTATGGACGAGCGGCATGAGGGGGGAGTGGCAGTCTAAGAACGTATAGTCGTGAGAATGAACTCGGTGGGTTAACTCTCGACGTGGGAGACTGACGGTCGTGCGAACGAGTTTACGCAAGCGAAGCGCTGTTAGCGGTCAGCACCGAGGCGTTATGATAGTGATCAGTGTTCGGGCTGAGGGAGTGTATCCCTTCTTGGTATTCGTGGGGGGCTGTGCCTATTGCATATCGGGCGGCTGGATTCTGGTGGGGTTGTGTCTAACTGTGCTCAGTTGGCGAACCCGGCGCTCAGCGCACGCGGCGTCGGTGCTTGTCTCGCGCAGGCAGGCCGCGAGGTCTAACAGCTAATCGCGCTTAGCAGGACATCGCAGAAGCCGTTGGTGTGGAATTGGGTGTTCTTACCTCAGCACTACCGCGTTCTGTGCCCTTGTGATGGGGGATTTGTTGGGCGAGGCTGAAAGGCCGGGGCTACCGGTATTGGAGTCCTCCTTTTGGCCAAGCCTACTAGGACGTACCATCCGTGGGGTGGCACTCGCGATTCCGAACGGGCTCGCCACTGGAACTCTGGGAGTGCAAAGCTGTAGAGTTCCCACTCGGGGATTGCGTAGTGAATTGCGTGTCGCTTTTTTCTGTGTCAAATGGTGTCTTACTTCTGGATGGTCTCTTCGTATCGCATCCAGGAAATTCTCAGCCTTACGAGTGCTAGCCCGTGCAGTTGGTAACGCAGCAATCAGTTGAGGGCATGCATTTAGCATCAAACTTCCCGGGAGAAAAATTCCTTGCTTGGTGACTCTTGCCCAGGTATCGAGAGGTGAGCCCCTTAAAATGTGTGGTGGTGGAGAGAGGTCGTATCGGACCCCAAAGATGAAAGCCTCAAAATTTTTGAAGGAGGACCAACGCACCAGTTCACCCTGCTCCTTCCCCTGTGACCCACCTAAAAGAGCATAACAACCAATTGCCGTTTCACGCGTGACGTGAAACTCGGTTAGAGTTGAAGTGACCCAGGTGCAAGTTGAATGCACGAGCCTTCAACATTGACGCAATGTGCCAAAGCGTGAGGTTCCGGTACTAGCGCTGGCATTCCACGAAAGTCACCATAGCACTCGCTTCTCAAGTGCAGTCTTGGAGGCAGTGCAGCTACCGATGAATTGGAAATCAAAAAATAGTAGAAGAAAGTGTGAACCTCAATTGATTGACCTCCTCGATCAACGAAGTCGCCGTTAAAGATATACGGATTGTCAAGTGATGGATAACCGTTCTGAAATTTAAGATACAGGCTCGCAGTGATTTGAGTCGCTCCACTCACCTTGTAAAGAATAATGCACAGATCATCAAATTTTCCGTGCAGGTCACCACATACCGTAACCTTAACAATGACATTAGCTAGTGAGCAGCTTGTAGTATTAGCAACAAACGCATTTCACCTGATTGGAAATTGAGGTAGAAAGACGAACGATCGTGGGCTGCTGCTTTAGGAGCCGTCGAGCCTCGAAGAGTATCAATAATACGTACCGCACATGCATAATCTGGAAGACATGTTTCCAGAGTTGTGATTGTTGAGCGGCCTATATGACATTTCATGCCATTAGAAGTGACTAATTCAAAGGCACATTCCATTTACCCTAGACGGCATTCTAATGGTGAAATCACTGAGTCTGACGGCTGCATAAACACTCCACAGCGCTTCTTAAATTAAAAAATCTTGGCTGCGCTGACCGAAATTCGGTTCAGTATTTATTCTTGAGTCATACATATGTATTCAGTTAGAGGCGTCCAAGGTTAAGCGTCTGTGGCCCGAATATAACGAGGAGTTTATTTGTAAAGGGAATATACGTAGACATTGTACGGTGGAGACGCCTTGACTCGCTACCTCTTCTTCGATGAAGCGCAGGTTATACGTGATCATTGTTAATATCTCACTTCGAGCTTCCACTTTAAAAAGTTATTCTTGTGAATCGAGTTGCAG